TACGTCGGCCAAGTGCTACCCAGAACTTGCGCAGGACCTGGATGTAGCGCCTGTCTCTTATACACATCTAGATGTGTATGAGAGACAGTTAGAATACGTTTTAATACATGTTTTAGGATATGATTTAGGACACGTTTGAGGACATGTTTGAGGACATGTTTGAGGACATGTTTGAGGACATGTTTGAGGACATGTTTGAGGACATGTTTGAGGACATGTTTGAGGACATGTTTTAGGACATGTTTTAGAATACGTTTTAGTACATGTTTTAGAACATGATTTAGGACACGTTTTAGAATACGTTTTAGTACATGTTTGAGGACATGTTTGAGGACATGTTTGAGGACACGTTTTAGAATACGTTTTAATACATGTTTTAGGATATGATTTAGGACACGTTTGAGGACATGTTTGAGGACATGTTTTAGGACATATTTTAGGACATATTTTAGGACATATTTTAGGACATGTTTTAGGACATGTTATAGGGCATGTTTTTGGACATGTTTTAATACATGTTTTAGGAAACATTTGAGGACATGTTTAAGGCGACATTTGTTGCGACATGACCTGGACCAGGACATCGTAGAGCGGTCTCTTGTGCAAGAAGAGCGTGTTGCTCGCGCCTGCCAGGAAGGCGCGTGTCCGGGGCGAGCTCACCACGTCCAGCTGCTGCAGAGACAGGTACGGGTGCACCAGGTAGCCCTGTAACATCATTACGCTTGTTACAAACATCATTAACATCATTACGCTTGTTACAAACATCATCAACATCATAAAGCTTGTTACAAACATCATTAACATCATTACGCATCATTAACATCATTATAATCATTAGCACCAGGTAGCCCTGTAACATCATTACGCTCATTACTTTTACTAACATCATTAACATCATTACGCTTGTTACAAACATCATTAACATCATTACGCATCATTAACATCATTATAATCATTAGCACTAGGTAGCCCTGTAACATCATGGCGCTCCTTACAAACATAATTACGTTATTATGTCTATCATTTATCAGACAGGTTGGGGCGCACTACATATCCCTGTAACATCATTGTGCTCGTTACAAACATCATTAACATCATTACATTATTAAGTCTGTCCATTAAATTATTATTTTGAAAGGCGTTCCCTAATACAGTCAGAGTTTGTGCTTCTTTCAAATGTTTGATATGAAAATAATAGTTTCATATCATTTGAAAAATGAATTATTAATAGTTTTAATGAGAATTATATCAATGAAATTATTGTAAATTGAAAGGTTGTCCCTAGCACAGTCAGAGTCTCTGCTTCTTCCATATGATTTATATGAAAAGAATAGTTTCATATCACTTGAAAAAAGAATTATTGATTAAAAATAATTATATCGATGAAATTATTGTATTCATGTATTGAAAGGCATTCCCTAACACAGAGTCTGTGCTTCTTTCAAATAATAAATTTGAAAATAATAGTTTCATGTCATTTGAAAAAAGAATTATAAATACGTACCTTTAAAAAGAATTATATCAATGAAATTATTATATTGAAAAGCGTTCCATAACACAGTCAGAGTCTGTACTTCTTTCAAATTATTTAAATAAATGTAATAGTTTCACATTTGAAAAAAATAATTATTAATAGTTTCAAAAACAATTATATCGATGAAATTATTGTATAGAAAGGCGTTCCCTAGCACAATCGGAGTCTCTGTGCTTCTTTCAAATGATTTATACGAAAAGAATAGTTTCATATCATTTGAAAAATGAATTATTAATAGTTTTAAAAAAATTATATCGATGAAATGATTATATTGAAAGGCAGTCCCTAATACAGTCAGAGTCTATACTTCTTTAAAATGATTGATATGAAGATAATACATACCGTAGTTTCATATTATTTGAAAAATGAATTATAAATAGTTTCAAAAAGAATTATATCGATGAAATGATTGTATTGAAAGGTAGTCTCAAACACAGTCAGAGTCAGCACTTCTTTCAAATGAATAATTTAAAAATAATAGCTTTATGTCAATCATATGAAAAAAAAATTATTAATAGTTTTGAAAATAATTATATCGATGGAATTATTGTATTGAAAGGCGGTCTTTAGTGTCTATGAGATGATGGAAATATTAAAATATTACATAAAATCTCTGTGACACAGCGGAGGGTACAAGTCCATGGAACAAGTTAGATGCGGAGAACATGAAAACTTGATTTAAACTTCAGGAATGTGGATTCAACGGCGAGGCGAATGAATTTAAACAACATAATATTCCGGTGTAAAGATTTATTATTCTGGAAAACAACTAGTGTCGTCGGATAATGAAGACGTACGTGACATCCCAGATTTGGTACTTAAAGAACTTTAGGCTATGAGCTGTTAATTAAAGTCCCTGGATTAATAACTGAGCAACAATTTGCTCCACAGCAGCCACAACAGCCATGCATCTGGCGGTCTCATCGCTATGTGTAGTGGTCGCTATGTTGCTAACCGCTCGTTAAGCCTCGCTTTAGCGTCTCTCATATGGTAATATTGAACGTATTCTTATTGAACGTAATATTGAACGTATTCTTATTGAACGTATTCTTATTGAACGTAATATTGAACGTATTCTTTATTTATCAACGTAGAGAAATGTAATTTATTTCTAATGCAAATTGCATACATTTCTGTACATTAAATCTCAGAAATAATTATTAATACGAAACGAGGAGTTAAGAGTACTAAAGAGAGAGGGTGCCACTGGAAGAGACAGCATATTATGGAGAAGTTTTCCAAGATATCAAATGCCGCTCCGTGCACGAAATAAGGATTATGCAGAACTCTACAATGTTAACAATTTAATTGCATGTGAATGAAGAATAATTTTGCTCTATCCATTATGGGACGAATGAAATAAGTATAACATAACCATTCACAAGCGGAAACAATCAGAAATTCAATTCTAACTGACTGGCAGAATCGTCAGGTAGCTGGGGAAGCTGCTGGTTGTTCTGCTGCAGCTCGGGGAAGACTAAGGGCGCCCCAGAGGCTGGGGACATGGGAAACTGCTGCTCCTTCTCGCCCTCTTCCTCAGCGCCTTCCTCTCCTGAGGGCGAGCACGTCGGCGTCGCCGGATAGTCTGGAGAACAGGAACCAACGCTGAATTTTAATAACTTTTTATAAAAAAATTATTATATTTTTTAATTAATAATGATTAACAATTTCTTGAATAATTTAATAAAATAATTTTTAATAAATGACTTTTTTATTTAATAACCTTTTCTCTAACTTCGTTATAATTCTCAGCATAGCGCAGTGTTTTATGACCTGAGCCTATATGCAGTGTAACTGCTGAATTGCACGGCGCATTGATGAGCAAGTATCACACATTTCATACATGAATAAGTATAAAAATAAAGAAACTCAAAGTAAATATCGAACACAAAGACTATCTTGACTGCCAACATGAAAATAAATTTTTAATAATGAAAGTAGTAATTTTCAAATTCAGTATAATTCAAGAAAGGATAAAGGGTCAAGCAGGAAAAACATCAAATCCATTCATGAATAAAAATTCAAATCAAATACAATAGCATAATGGGCAAGATATAAGATGAGGAGAGCGTGACCTTTGCTGGGGCGCTCCTTGGTGCCCGTCCAGTAATTTAGGGCGCCCGTGAGCCGCCCTTTGAGGGAGCGCGTGAGGCGTGACGACAGGGGCGGTGACGACACGAGACTGCCGTCTGGGGGACATGACGAGACGTGTTATGCTCATGTATCATTGATACGCGCATGATACGCTGGTGTATCATTGATACGCGCATGATACGCTGGTGTATCATTGATACGCACATGATACGCTTGTGTATCATTGATACGCGCATGATACGCTGGTGTATCATTGATACGCACATGATACGCTTGTGTATCATTGATACGCGCATGATACGCTGGTGTATCATTGATACGCGCATGATACGCTCCTGTACATTGATACGCGCATGATAAGCTTGGGCACAATAGGTGAACACATCCCTAACAATATGTAGAGTCGCCCCAGCTTCTGGCAATCCAAATCAGAAGCTGACGCGTCTGTAAATTTTCACTCTTACAATAGACGCACACAATAAACGATCTCACTCTTACAATAGACGCACACAATAGACGATCTCACTCTTACAATAGACGCACACAATAGACGATCTCACTCTTACAATAGACGCACACAATAGACGATCTCACTTACAATAGACGCACACAATAGACGATCTCACTTACAATAGACGCACACATCTCACTTGCAATAGATACTGACGACGTAAAGAAAGCTTGGTATGGTATAGTTAGAGAATTTTGGCTTTTTAATATTTTTTATTGTGTTGTGAGTGAGATGTGTTTCTTATCATGAATTTCACCATGCTCAACTTGATGTGGATCATGATATTCTGCGCCTATTGTGTAATGAACATCATCATCAACTTTACGTTAGAGTATTACGCAGCATGATAGCAGGCCGAAGAACAGAGTGTTCTCCCATCATAAAATATGGCCTTCGAAGTACGTCATGATTCTGTTAGCCTTCGTTGTTAACCAACTCATAGATCTGGTTACTACACACTTATGAAACATTCATGGGATACGAGCTCATGACTTACTATGGTCTAGATATTCATGGGCGTGGTATGGGTGCAGTATTGAGCGCGGCATGATCAGTATGGCGTGGTTTGGGCGCGGCATGGACGCAGTATAGGCGCAGTATGGGCGTAGTATAGGCGCGGTATGGGCGTAGATATGGGCGTGGTATATGAGTGGTATAGGCGAATTATAGGCGTGATATGGGTGTAGTAATTGTTGGATTTACTTGAAGAGTCACATTGTTTCAGCTCAGAGGATTTTTCCAGAGCTGAGTCCGTAGATGAACTGAGCGAGTCAGTTTCACACTTGACGCCATAGCCATCGGTGATTTCGCCCTCGCAGTTTTGTACGTCGTCCAAATTACTGAAATTCATCACACAAATTACTGAAATTCATGAATTACTGTCGTCCAAATCTAAATATTCATGAAGAACAAGTGCCACCATAATCAAATCTAAGCGAAATATGCTTTAATCTGATATGTAGTGACTTATCAACGGATAATAAACGAAGAGCACAATCGTTACAAAAAATCTGGAGCATATTCACAGAATTATTAAGCAAAAAATATAAAAACTTGAATAATACAGTACCTTTTGCGAAAATTTTTATGCTATAAGAAATTATGATTTCGGCACTTTGCCACCATGTAACAAAAAACACACAACTAATACATGCAATATATCGTCAAGTTAAATTTTCGTAGGCATAATAGCGTAATCAAATACTGGAACTTGATAATGAGAAACAAGCATAAGGAATACCACGCATTATAGAAGGAAGATATTAGGAGAAGAGCGAATGGTGAAAATAGAATACTTAAAACTTTATGAAAATCTGAAAACAAAATGGGCATTTGCTTTCAAGGTAAGGAAACATTCAAGAAGCATTGCAAAGAAGTAGTAAAACTCTCAAGAAACATTAATAAGACGTGGAGGGAACTCTCTAAAAACGTTGATAAGAAATGGAGTGAACTCTCGAGAAACACTGATAAGAAGTAGAGTGAACTCTCGAGAAACGTTGATAAGAAATGGAGTGAACTCTCGAGAAACACTGATAAGAAGTAGAGTGAACTCTCGAGAAACGTTGATAAGAAATGGAGTGAACTCTCGAGAANACTGCGCCAGTCGTATCCTGACGTCAGCCATGCTGAGGTGGCCAGCGTTGGGGTGGCAGGGGCTGAGCTCCAAGAGGCGGTCGTAAGGGCCGCCCTCAAGCCACCTTCTGTAGTGCCGCGTCTGCCGCCACGCGCTCACGAAGCTCCCGTTGAACGCCTCGACCTCGCGGCTGCCTTCTGTTGGGCAGGCTATGTTAGTGATGTGGGGTAATTCATAATTTTCGTAAAACTTAATAATTTCTACAACGTTTTTTGGCCAGAATATAATAATTTCTACAACGTTTTTGATATGATTAAAATATTATAATATAACCATAATATGATAATCGACCTGAGACTATGATAAAATGATATGGCACTAATCGACGGTCGTGAGCATGCCTGCTCCATTGAGATCCATACAGAGGTACGCCCAATTATCGTATTTTATAGAATATGATAACATTGATCTGTTCTTATAGTTGCTCATAAGAGAGAGCGATACCGTATCCGGATATCGCACTCTCGTGCGTTTCTGACAGATCTGACGCTAGGACGTAGTCCGAGCTGATGCTGCCTCACGCTTTTCACCTCTGACACTCATCAATCACGCACGCATTCGTTCGCTACGATCCGACAGTATTTTCGACCAACCATCCTGCCTTCGCCCTGTCAAATCGTGATCTCATTAGTGACCCTTACGTCACCTTCTGTGATGTCACTATTCGCGGGTCACCGCGTATATAAGCTCGGTGAGCCGACTGCCAGTCTGAGTCTTAGTCTTAGAAGAGTCTTAGGCAGACAGCCTTCAG